ATTTCAGCTATTCCCTCAATAAAGCCAAAAGTTTGCAGCCCCTGCATCACAATAAACGAGCAACTATTTCTCATTAATACAGTGTAGACTCGAACATAAACGATAGTTACTCTATAATGAACAACTTATTCAATTAAAACTAGCACAAAACAATAGTTAAACTAAATCAACAGAGAGGAACAAAACAAAAACAATGAGTTAGCATGCCAGCTAACGCAGATTAGCGATCAGTGCTAACTCGCACGAGATGCCAAAACACGATGTGTTTAATGTGCGCACGACAAACAACGATAATCTGGAATAATATCGTACTAGAATACTAAAATAGCCAATTTGAGGGCGGATTAGTAACTGTTAAGTAATATATAAAGGCAGTTTTTGTCTCGGCTCGCTGGTCTCCGGCTAATCCCGCTGCAGTACCTAAAATAATAGACATCACTTTTCCCCGCGGACAAGCCCGACTTTCTGGTCACTTCTTCCCTTTTCCAACCATTTGGGAGAGCCGAGCACTCCCACCTTTTCCTCTCCATGTTTCTCCCGGAGTCTCTCTGGAAGGAAAGCTGTGGATGTTTGGGGTTAAAAGCGGCCAGTCGCTGTTCTCTATCCGCTCACCTCACGACCTTCTGACTCATGACGACTCTCTGTGAACCGGGAGTCGATTCGCTGTTCATTCATCTGCGGAGCTAGTAAAAACACGTAGATCGACTTTAAAAGAGACTAAAGCAAGGATAAATACTTGAAAACATGTCTGTTGTAATTCTCGGTAGTCGATTGTTGTTTTACAAAGGAGAGCGCGGGTGACTCGTGGAATCGGATCTTACGGTTCAGTTGGAATCGACTCGCTGTATCAAGAAAATTATGTAAAAGACACAAAGCCTTTATAAGTGTATTTTTAAATGCCAGCAGTCCATGAAATACCTAATATATATATATATATATATATATATATATATATATATAGAGAGAGAGAGAGAGAGAGAGAGAGAGAGAGAGAGAGAGAGAGAGAGAGAGAGAATCATTTATAAGCATGTTTAATATGGTTTATCCACGACTCGTGAATTAAAAGATTTGAAGCCTGATTAAAAAACTCGTCCATTTTAATTTAAAACCTTAACTTTTTAATTTTTTACTAATTATGTATATGCATGACGTTAATGTAAAATCACATTTTATTATTGGTAAACTCATGCATATACATTAAAGGTGATGGTTACACACTTTATTTGAAGGTTAGCGTATTTTTTCATTTAAGAGTGATATAAACATGCGCTTACTACTGTATATATAGTGTTAGTTGGATGCAATAAGTGCATGTGAAGTATAACAAGGACACTAAAACAAAGTTACCACGGTGATAATAAAGCATAACCACATCAAACTTATTTTCTTTCTTTTAATAACAAGCACCAGCATTAAACCCGCCGTTGAGCAGAATTAAACAGAATTAAAAACCAGAGCTCAGGTCCACGATAATGTTATTAATAATATAATTACAGTGCATTTATTCCAAGAGGTTTCAGTGGGAACAAATGGTGAAGTTTTACAAACATCTCTTTAATACATATCATTTAATTCTGAGTCTGTGATCGTTCTCCTTTCATGAGCACACTGATAAATCACGAGGGGGAAACGGATTGAACGCTCCGAAAAAATAAATATCACATTGTTCATTGGCTCTGATGAACTAGTCCGTTTCACACGATAGATTGGTTTGGTTTCAACAGCCGTGACGAGCGTCTCCGTCTTCAAACCGTCCGAAGCGAGACCGTCCTGCGGGAACATGAAGCACGACATCAGTGAGACGCGGCAGGAACACACACACACACACACACACACTAACACATCGGTCCTCAGTAGTGTGAGTGACAATAAGTGATTCAGGTCATTTTCTTGAACTATAGACTGTATAATGAAGTTGAAGTGTGTGTGAGTGAGTGTGTGTGAGAGTGCGCGAGAGTTCACAAACACACACACTCTTACACAACCACACAGTCTTACACAACCACACTCTCTCTTATGCCGAGTTCAGACTGCACGATTTTCAAAATAATCGGGTCACTGTTGTTTTCACACTGCATGACTATCTGGGGAAACATTCAGTTGCTGCTGTGTTCACACTGCACGATGGATCGGCGACAGGAGGTTTCACACCGCATGACTTTACAAAAGAAAGAAGCGCCGGCAACTTCTGCCTGGTCCGCAAACTACGTTTCACAACCAAACAAACGCGAGAAGTGATAGTAAATAACGGAAGATCACGCGTGCGTGAGACCGGAGTTCTCGGGCGACACTGAATTTGTTATTAAAAATGATAGCCTACAAGAAGATCGTGATCCAAATTGTCTGTGCACTGATTGTAGCAACAAAAAAAAAAAAAAAAAAAAAAAAAAAAACAGTTTATGCAGGAAATGGTTGGGAAGACGAGGGGAGCAAGGACTGTGTTTTGCAAAGAGAGTTGGGGGTAAATAAATAATTTTGCAAATGACACCCTGCTGTTGCT